TYAACCATTCTGTGATTCCATGGCATRAATATTGTTCAATTCAAAGTCATTTTAAATCTGTATGTGATTTATCTTATGCACTGAAATATTTAAGTTGATTATGATTTCCATCTACTCTTTTTGTAGATGCTTCTGGCTTTSATGCTTTTACAACAGAGGTTTTTATAGACCTGAACAATTTTTATGGAAACAACCCTTTACTTTGATTTTCTACTTCAGTCTATCGTATGTTTATAGGAATATTTTTCAAATGCTGTACAGATTCTGATAGCTGCATTCATTCATGGGGTAAAAGGATGTTTTATGAAACCTATTTCTCCGTGAAATTTCAGGATCAGATGGGAAGGAATTACATGCATTTTTGTTTCAGTGGCTTTGATTCTAAAGGCCTTTATTAAATATTTTTTTCTTCTGCAAAGTTACTGCTAAATGATACCTTTATTTAATAGATCTGTCTGCAGTCTTTATTATGAGTTTTATATGTTCACTTCAGTGTCAGTTTTTCTTATGTTCTTTACTCCTACTAGCCCAGTAGGTTCCAGGTCAGTAAAAGAGATTTAGTCCGTCCTTGAACATTATTGTTCACAGGGATCCTTAGTCCAAGAGCTGCACAAATCACTTCTCCTGAGAAGTTTATTTTTTGTGTAGATACTAAAAATGAACAATAACTAAACAGCTTTATTCTCAGAATGCAGATGGAATTTGTGGGTCTGAAAATGAGAAGAACCATCTATTTATTTGTATTCTAAACATATAGGGAAGTCAGTGAATCAACCTGAAAACAAGAACAAACATGAAACCCTGTAATGCAGCCTCAAAGAGTAAAACTGAGTGACTCCCCACTGGTAGAGCGTGAAACCATCCCAGCTGCTGTAGGAATGAGCGGTGTTTTGGCAGGGCCTGTCACTCTCTCTTGRCCACAGAGGAACCCTGGAAAGCTGGTTTTGAACAGCGGCACCCACCACCGTGGTGCCTGAAACAGGAGCAACCAAACCCATCCTGAAAGATTTAAGAGCCTACTTCCAGTTTTCAAGAGAAATGTTTGGTGAGTCTCTCATTCCTAAGGCATTTTTGAAAATGGGATTGAGCTCTTGCCATGCTGGATAAAAGCCCAAAATATGCCTCAACATTGATACCCACCCTCCTTGTTCTTCTGGGCATCAGGAGCCATTAGTACCCGAGTCGCTTTGAAAATGGCATTTAAGCATCTCAGTCACAGAATTAACAAGAAGAGACTCAATATCTCGTTTATCCAGGACAACGTCATCTTTACTCAAATTATCTCTGACAGATGTTTGTCTAACCTTGTTTCAGAATCCTCCTATGACAGGAACCTCAMAACCTCCTCAGCAGTCGATCACCATTCTTCCCTATCCACATCCATAGTAGTTTTTTCCTAATGTCTAATGTAAATCTCCCTTGCTATGGTTTAAGTCTATTACTTGTTCTGTCCCTTGTGGACATTTCATAGCCTTTCAGGCATCAGAATAGCATTAACACGTATTCCCTCCTTATTCTCTTCTTCATACTTAGTTGAGGCTAAAAAAGTCCCCTTAGGCTCTGTGAAATTTTTTACCCGCAACCGGCTTAAAAGTAGAACTGCTTAATGTTAATGTCTTTATCAAATAGCASTTATGAGAAATAAGTGTAGTGTAATGGCATATGGTAGGAAAGAGTTTGATACATCTGTGTCCACTTCAGGGATACTGTGGTTTAAATGGAGATTTCAGCTTATATCCTTTGCCCAGCTTTTTACTTATTAGRATGTCAGGAATATCAGAAATTTCAGTAATAACCTTTAAATCCACCTTGTCCTCCTCAAGTTTCTCATGAGGTGTATTGCTTCTGCAGTTAAGGCTTACATCTCCTGCAGGTCTGCACGGCGCCGCATGGCCTTAGCAGCTCATTCCTAATTCAGCAGCTTCCTAAACATCACAGTCTTTCAGAAACAAGGACTATCTCAGAATCACGGAATCCCAGAATGGCTGAGGTTGGAAAGGACCCCTAGAGACCATCTAGTCCAACCCCCTGCTCCAGCAGGGACACCCAGAGCACGGGGCACAGGGCGGCATCCAGGCGGGTTTGAAGACCTCCAGAGAAGGTGACTCCACAGCCTCCCTGGGCAGCCTGTGCCAGGGCTCTGGCACCCTCACAGGGAAGAAGCTCTTCCTCACTACCGTCAGTAGCACCAAGCCAAAGTCTGATCGTTGTCCAGGCCTCACCAGATAAAGTTATGGCAACGCTGCAAGTATCCTTGTTAAATAATAGTGGTCTCTTCTCAGGAAGCAGTTTCCATTCAATATAAACTATTTTTTTCTACTCTAACTGACCAGATTTTGAAAGTTTGTATTCATTTTATGGCATTTCAATTAGAAGACACAGGTAGTTTGTGTGAATTTTATTTCCTTGAAGCAGTAGGGTTTTATTCAGCTGGATGGAGAAGCATGTCTTCAAGAACACATGCACGTCATGCTCGCCTTGGATAGCAGTTCCCAGGGATGTGGGCAGGGAACCTACCCCAAAACACCAGTGCATCCCATGACCAGCAAACCCAGCAAAATAAATTTCCTCTGTAAGCCTGTTCTTTGAACACATACCTAGTATTTGTGTGTGCCAGCTGTGCTGATGTGGCATCCGTGGTATTAAATTAATATTGTTGTGAAGCATTTCTCTTTAATTAAGAGAGAGCTCCCCTGCAGGAAATTTCCTGAAACAATACTCGTTAGTAATAAACAGATTAAATCTTTATCAGTTAATCAACACTATAAGCTTCTAAGTATTCTGCGAGCAGCGTGAGGTAACACTGTCGTCATAGTGAGTGTTTGAAATCATGAGGGTTCCCCCTGTACCATTCGGTGGTGAGAAAGCAGCGACTGAAGATGGAGCCCCCCCGACGAGCGCAAGGGTGAATTCACCCGAAGATGGAAAAGGCTCAAATTTGGGCCCCATCTCTCAAGCCCTTTTTTCTTCTAAATAGTGGGCAGCAGTGGTGGGCAGTACCGGTGCAATCCGTCATGTGTTGATGCTGGGAACTCACGATACCACAAGCGTTCTGAGCAGATGGCTGGTGAAATTTTAGAGGTTGTTCATGGAACAGCCCCTCTGCCTTTTCTGAACGCCTCTTGCAAGCTGATCACTGTGACAGAGGRAAGAAGCCCTGACCTCTCACAGAGACCTTAACTGTGCTGGAGGCTGCGATACAGGTTCCTCATGTTCCTCCACCCCGAATCCTCCACACGGTCACTCATGTCTCTCCTTGCCCTCCCAGGACAACCACAATTCCCAGCTCACCCATGCAAGGTGGTTCTGCTCCACTCCAGCTATTTGGTGGGAATAAAGAGCACGACTTGCTGTGGGCATGGTAGGGACAGCGTAGGTGGCTTTGGGCAAGGACCTCTTTGAAGAAGGCTTCGCAGAAGTGAGGGTATCGTGGAGCAGGAAAGCACAAAGATGTTACAGCTAGTACAGTATCAGCACCTAATCTGATACCATTTGGAGTCATGCACCTTTAGAAAGCTATATTATGAAAGCATTAATGTTTTCTCCATCACTACTGGGAATAGTCAGAGCCTCTGTGTGTCACTCTGGGCGTTTCTTTGGAGCCACTGGAATTAGGGGCTCTTTCCATGAACTTGGTAAAAAAACAGAAGTAAGATAAGTGAGCTGAAATAAAAGATAGGCACAGCTGGGAAAGGAAAACATGTGTGTTCACATGCAGCAAGCTTGCTGGAATGGGTCAGCAAACAGTGGTTAGCAGGGGGACAGCAACTGGCAGTCACATGTGGCCACTGTTTTCTCATTTTTCATCTTTGGCCTTTATTTGGTCACCGCAGCAATAAATTCATGTATTTTTTTAATGAAATGGTCTATGTTGCAGCATGAACTACAGTGGCTGGTAATGGTTTTCAAACACGTTAAGCTCTGTAGGCATTTATTTCTTAAAAGATCCATTGAAGCCTGGGCGACACTGTTGCCTCCAGAGGCAAAGGCTGTGTTGGATTCCGAGGGAATTGCCCGTTCTTATTCCGCTCCTCACGTGGCCATGTTGCATTGCAGAGCACGGGCTCCTTGTTGGGAGGGCTGCTCCGGAGCACGAGGAGCCCCAGTGGTGCCCTGCCGCTGCCCACGCCGCAGTCTCCTTAACTGAAGCTGAATCCATAGGCAAGGATAGAGCAAACCAAAAGCTGCCGTGTGGATGGGCCCCTCTAAGAGGCCGGAGCTGAACTGCACTGATGGRTTTCGGAGACGTTGCAGACTGCCTCTGTTTAGAAGCCCTGAGCTAGCACAGCAATAGCATCGTGGAAAGTGGGGTAGTAGGTGCCATCACTTTTCTGTCACTTCTCCCTGCTCAATGTCTATGCCCAAAATTACAAATTAAAAAAAAACCCTCCTTCTTTTCCTCATAGTGTGATTTGTCTTCATGTAGTATAATTTCCAAGAGGGTTTCCAGCGGTAAACTGGTTGTAACAACTTTGTATTCATAATTAAAGTCAGCTCTGTCACCTGTGAGATAAAACTTTTTATTACATACCTTTATGAAAGGCTAGGTGCAGATTTGCGGGGTTGAGGGTTAGTGAGGCAAGATAAAAGAGACAGTGCATCCTTCTTAGCAGCTGTGTAATGTGTCTCTTTGGCACGTGCCTGGGGGCTGCTCCTGCCCAGGAGTTTGTGCATTTGGAGAAACCAGCGCAGGTAACTGCTGTTTCATTTGTTAATTACTGGAGTGAAAGKTGACTTTTTTACAGAGAGACCGAATGTTCTGGTTTGTCCAAGTGATCTGCTTGCAAAACAGAAAATCTTATGATGCTTCTGATCATACACCTTTCCTGCAATACTATTTCTGTCATTCATGGCATGGGTGGCCTTCAAATCTCAGGGAAGGGTGTTTAACTAGTCACATCTTGCTAGCAAAAGAGAATGTATTCTGTGATTATCACCATTTATCTGTTCATCCTGTCCTCCTTACTCTCTCCTTTCTTTCTTTCTTTTTTCTTTTTCAGGATGGAGTAGGTGTAGATGAGAAGCTGTCTTTACGGCGGGTAGCCGTGGTAGAAGATTTCTTTGACATTATCTATTCCATGCATGTTGAAACTGGGCCTAATGGAGAACAAATCAGAAAACATGCTGGACAAAAGAGAACGTATAAAGCAGTAAGTAAACTAAATCAAAATAAAATAGATAAAAGTGAACATCAGAGTTGTTTGTCCCTAGTCACACAGCATGAGACTGGTAGCTTTTTTTCTTTGTTTTTTCCTGACTGGATTAGTATTGCAACCATCAGATTTCTTTCAATAATGTGTGAAAACATGCAGTTTACTAATCAGTTGGGTCGTGTTCTTTACATATTAAGGGCCAGATCCATTGACTWCAATAAAGATTTTCTAATTGGCTCAAGCAGAGAATCTATTCTCACTATAATGATTTGATGATCTTTGTAATAACTATATTAATGGTATCTTTTAACTGCTATTAAATGGCTAAAGGCATTGCTACGAAAGTTTGCTAAAGAGGTGCTGTAGTTGAGCAAATGAAGGAAGTTTCATTATACCTTATTGCTGCAGACTATATTTTAAGGTTTAATGGTATGAAAAATTTTCCTAAATTCAAAAAGCTGGAAAGCTGCTGGGTACAATGAAAGAACTATTGAGAGGGCAACTGTCAAACCCATATAAGCTGCTGAATAGGGAGAAGAGATTATTCCTAAGCTTTTTAATTGTGCTTTATTGTTTGACCTGAACAGTTCAGCTGCTGCCTTTAAATAACAATGCATAGCTTTTGTATTTAGTGGCACAAATAAAACACTTTCTGTTCTTAAAGAGAACCCATAAAACGTTTACTAGAGTTTCCCATGCCCTGTTACATCTGAATGTGGTGTTGTCCTCCAAGGTTGATCTGCAGTCATCTTGGCCAGGCAGCCACCGGGGCCTTGTGCTTAGGTCCTGACACGTGGACAGCTGGGCCTCTCACCCTTATTGCAGCTTTCTTAAACTTAAAAACAGCCTGCAAATCATGCCAGTCAATTTTTTTTTAATTATCACCCAAAAGTGTGGTAAGTCCAGGCTGCTGGTATCTGCATTTCAGTTTTAGCTTCTGACCATAATAAATCTTTCCATTATTTTTTTTTTAGATATTTACCTTTGCAAGGACTCTATTATGTGTCTATGAATCTCTTTACAAATATTTTATATATAGGATATTTCAAACAGTTTGTTATTGCATAAGCTCTTGGCAATATTTCTTATAATCTGTGCCTGACAGTATTGACCTGAAGATAGATGTATGAAGGAAAAAAGCTGGTCATCAGGGTGTGCTTTGTAAGGCTTACAGTGGTATTCCAGAGTGAACAAACACAAAGTGTAAATCAATTTTCATCTGTCACCTTAGCTATTTTGAAACAACTTCTCTTTTAGAAGGCATTGGAAAAGTAGTAATTGACCATTACTTTTATATTTGTTTTTATTTTAGAAAACTATTGTCAGGGACAGGTTGTGTGGACTTTAGAGAATAATATTTAAGCTTATTGAATGTTACCAACTGTAAATGGAATAAGTCAAGTCATCATGCTACAAGTATGTGCCAAGCATCTATCTAGATGCCAAGCATCTGTCTATTGCTCTCAGGGTCCCATGGTCCCAAGCCAGATAAGACCTGTGTTTATTGTGAGCTGTGAGAAAGAGAACTAGTGTCTCTTYTGTGAGAAGAATCCATGTAAAATCGGTAGGTTGCACAGTAGTTTCATTTGATGTTAACTTTTGGTGTAATTGAGACACGAGTTTCTTACTCAATGGGGAGATGATGACAAGGAAGCCCTGTGTTGCTATCAATGTGTGTTTGTTTCAAGGCATATTAGTATATCAAGAGCATTAAATCATATGTCCCAAGGGTAGGATTCTCAGTTATAATTTTAAAATATTTCTGTAAACGAAATAAAAAGGGAGAGAACACTCCTGAGGAAACTCGGATCAATTCTTGCTCTCTGTCCCAGGATGAGGGTTGTGGTAAATAAACAGGCCTCRAATTCTGCTGGATGACTTGAGGAAATAGATTACACCTTACTGGGCCTTTCAATGAAAATGTCTTTCCTCTAGAAGACRAGCAGTAGTGTCTCCTGTTGCAGAAGGCCAGGCAGGAGCCCCTTCTGTGATGCTACAGATGGAGAAAAATCATGTCTCAGATAACTGTCTCACAAAAATTTTGCCCTAAGAGCTTTATAAATCAAACTGAAGTACTTTGGTGGGGGTTTAATTTTATTAGGTGACTTCTGAACGAGATTAATTTAGTCTTGTTTCTTTATTCACTAGTCAGAAGAGAGTGATCCCTGAGATCTGTGCAAGTATTTTCATATATAAGTATTTACTTAATTAGGGTGAGAAATTTGAGTGAGGATGGTTCACAAACTGTGTGCTGCAGTTGTTTTGCTGTGTGTTATTCACAACTCTGAGTGTGTGCTGCTTCTTCCTGACTGGACAACCAAAGCATTTAAGAGAAAGAAGAGGGGGAGAAARCACTACCTTTTGGGTATAAAACTTTGGATTTCATAAATATTGTCAAGATTTTTCAGTATCTGACTATTTTTAAAAAATGGATGGCATCATACTATGTTCAGTAATTCTTTTGCTTATATATTTTTGAGTCTGTTTTCATTAGTGAACATGCTTCACTCAAAATTTTGAATAGTACTTAAGCATGATTAGAAAGGTAATGAAATTGTGAAGGGTGACTTAATTAACTGCTGTTTGTATTTATATGGAGAAACAGATTCGGAATATATGGAGGTAGTGCTGAGCATTCACCTTTCCCCTGATCTGAAAAGCAGCCATGTCTTTTTCATTTTTGAATAAAGAGTCCCCCCAGATGCTGGGGTGCTAGAATATATCCATATCTCTCTCTGAAAACATACTTAAAACTTGAGGTTTAAACCTCAATTACTGAATCCGTAATCTACACTCTTATTTATGTTAGCTCTGTCAAAATGAATGGCATTTTACAATTGATTTCTGTGGGACTGTCTACAGTAGAACTGCATGGGAAGATATATAGGATGTAGTGCTTAATAGCTCTAAAAGAGCAATGTTTTRGAAGGAGCATTAATGTTTTCATTGGTGCAATAATGTGCCAAACTGCAACTTTTGGATTTCTTGGCACAAACTTTATAGACTAATTAGGAAAGTATCCTTGCTTCAGTACTTAAGTTTAGAATGAGGTCCCAGTTTTCTTCTGCTGCTTTTCCCCACGCTTTCAGTTTCTGCTTTCAGTCCCCGAAAGCAGAACCTGTGTAATAAAAGTGGAGGGACACATAAGAGAAATGTTAAGGAGAATTCTTACGGCATAGCGGGAAAGACACTGTAGRTACCTCACTGACTTTCCTGTGCCTTTATAGAGCTACTACTCAACCGTGTCCCAAATTCAAGTGCTGAGGGATAGGTAAGAGGTAAGAATAAAAGGGAAAAGTTGCGCTTTTATGCTAGAGGAGCAGCATAATGCAACAGTCTCAAAGTTGTTGTTAAGACAACTCTTTGTGGTTCAGTGCAAACCTAATGAAATTTCAAGATACTCCAAGGGCCACTTGATGAGACTGAAGATGGGAAATATCTCTGCCTCCTGTCAGGTCCAGCTCTGAGTACAGGAAGGATCACACCCTGAATTCCTGAGTAGATTTTATTTTCATTTATTACTCTTAAGAAGTGATTAGTTTTTCTTGTTATTTGAACAATAAACAAAGAGGAGCAAGTGCTTCACCTTTACGTATGACCATACGTGTTATGTATGGTCAAATTTTCCTGTAACTAAATGATTCATTGTTTGGGTAAATCTTGTAGCCATCTAAAATGCTGGAATTGTTTGGGTAAATCTTGTAGCCATCTAAAATGCTTTACTCTCTGTATACTTGAATATTTTTTACCTGAGATTGATCTAATATCTGCCTGTTGAGTCTGCATAGTCCAACTGGAAAGCCTTGAAATGTTATGGTAGTGAACTTGAATTGTGAGGGGGGATGTTGTCTATGCAGGAGAAATGGTCAGTGAATGAATTTCCCAACCCATGAATGGAAAAGAGCACTAGGATGCTGAGCTGGAATAGAAATACATTTATAAAATGTGGCAGATATTGATGTGGCATGGGGAAGTAGCCTGGAAGAAAGCCTCTCATCAGATAGGTAGTGCATAAATCTATAGTATCTGCAGAGTAACATGAGTCTGCAAGGTGTGGGGCAATATCTGGGGTCCTGTGCTTCCTGTTGAAATCAGAACTGTTTCTTCGTTTGAGTCCGTGTTATTAAGCAGCCTCCCTCTTTCCCATCACTCTAACAAAACTTCTTCACTTGTGAAATGTGATAGGACTTTTCTTTCCTTCCCACAAGAAGAACATGCTCGTGAGTCCCCTCTAAGCATCACAGTGAAAGTGTTTTCCTTTGGAAAGAAGTCTTTAACATTACTATGAAATAACACCACCTCCTTTCAGGACACCCTCACTAATCAAACAGGTTAAARCAGATTTGTGGCCCAGCTGTTCTCCATCTACAGAAGAACTTAAGAATTTATCCTCTAGGAAGCAAAAGGAGATGAGATTTGTGCAGGATCTTGGCTCGCTTAAATCCCTGTCTCCACACTATTGCTTTGTACAAGACCAAACAGTTGGGCCCTGTGTATTTTTGCTCCACTGACTTTCTTCATCTTTTTTGCAAAGGGCAAGTTTGGAGTCTCCTGGCACCCAACCAGCTAACAGGTGTTTCCTATCGCTTTCCTTTCAAGCTAGTTTTATTATGCAGGGAGGGAAAAAAAAGCTGTGAGGAAGTTTATTATGAGAGGGAACAACATTTTCCCTGATATACCAAGGCAGGGAGCACTTGATAAAACTCTCAGCAGTAATATATCTGCTTGCCTGTGCTAGCCACTTATTCTGACCTCTCACTGAGGAAAGAAGAGGACTTTCCTTGGCTGGTTTGCCCTTCTGTCATCAAGAAATCACATTCTACCACCTGGCTTGATGGCTGTGGGCCCWGGACACGTGATCAGCTTCACCATCTTCCCTTCCCTTGTTGAATCCTTCTTTGGATCATTTGCCCTCTCACCCCCCCCATATAGTTAAAAAAACATACACACACAACCAAAAATCCCGCTGTTCTGACACTGACACATCATATCTTCCAGACTACACATACATCCTCCATGTTAATGCTGTAGGGGTTAATAGGTTCATCTGCAAAATTTCACTCCCTTTCCTCACACTTGTCTTTCCTGCCCTGCCATATGTGTCCTAAAATCTGCCTTCCAGTTGGAGCTTGTTAATTTTCAAAGTGGAAATGTAGCTTTGAAAGCTGTATCATCATAATATCCTACATTACAATAATCTAAATATTAAATATTATAAATTTTTTTTTCCTCTGCACAAGTGATGCAATAGGAATGCAAGATAGTTCTTGTAGGTAATTAGGGCATATTTCACTCAGCTCCAAAGTAAATCAGATTGCATGCTCAGTTACTGGATTACTTGCCTTATGGTAGTTATGCTCTTTGTGGGAGCCAGTAAATAGCATGTAGGTTAATTACAGATTTAGAGGGACTTAATTGTTAGGTGTTGATTTGGTTGCATAGGTATATCCCAGAATCTATTATCATATAGTCATAAAAGGTCATTTTGCCACTGGGGCCAACTCTGATTTTATTTACCTCTGTGCTTAGAGTTAAACAAAATGTAAGTAGGTGTGCAGGGCTGTTAGGAAATGTTCTGCTTCTTACCTATAACTCCTGGGTATACAACAACCAGTGTTGTGTTTAAACTCTGCTTAAAGTTTCAGAGGTCTAAGTTCTTCTTCATACATTTTTCTCCCTTTACGGTATAAAAAGTATTCAGCTATTSATCTCTTAGAGCTATATCTAGCACACAATACCAGCTAACTTTAGCATGCTTATTTTCTATTTTGTCTGTTTTACAGAAATTATCTAGTGTAAGGGCTTTTTTTTTTTTTTACAAGCAATAGCAGCTATACTAATGATGTGCAGTGAAACCACCAGTAAAATTAAACAATAATGTAAGGATGCTTCTAAAGTATCACATTTGAAGGAAGTACACTGATAACTGGTTTGTAAAGTAGTCCACATTGTATTTCCCTCTTTAGTGACATTCTGGGATACTTTATCAATATAAAATATTGGCAGTGGCTGTTTTCTCATTGGTAGGGACATGTACATGACCCGTGCTTCACATCATGGCAAAACTAGGGCATTGCCACTGCATGGATGTAAATAATGCAGTATTCCCTACTCCAGTTCACATCTCTGGCTTATTTCTTTCTTAAGACATAGAAGCATGTAGGTTTTGTTTATTTTGTGGAAAAGTTATAACTTTTTTTTTATTGCAGGATATTACTGAATGAAATAATCCGACTATATTTTTKTTAGCTGATGGCCTTGAGAAGAGAGCTAAGAGCAGGCCACTCAAGTCAGTAAGAATATCAGTGAGGACTGAGCCATTGTTGCTTTCTTTCAGACAGAACGGAGGACAGAAACACTTTTTCCCYATGAAGTCAGACCACTGGCCAGAGTACTACCATTTAATTGCTTATAAAATGCCATAGGCCTCCTTGTACTCTGAAAAACTCGCATTCAAGSCAGCTCTGTGAACCACAAGCTAGTAGGAGCCATGAGGGACACAGCAGAAGGCTTTGTGTTCCACCTTGAGCTGACCAGGTTGGACACTCCAAGGTCACAGCTGGTTCTGTGCCAGTTAGTGGAGAGCATGGCTGGAACAAGCATTTTTCTGTCACTGAGTATGGAAAAGGCCTTTTGGAGTGTATTCTAGCAGCAAGAGAAARCTGTGGGTCATCTCCTCCACATGGCACTCCTAATGTGATACTGATCGTGTTCTGCCGATATATGTAGGCAAAAGACTTGGCCGTGAGYATGATTGATTCAAATCACCAAGTAAACAAGGGAGGATGTTGGTGAAAACTAGTGTTATTTAGGGAAGGGCATCATTAAAGCTGTGCTGCAGTGGGAGGTTGGAGACACAAGCATCTGCCATGTGGGCAAGTTTAGTTACAAAACCCGCTTCTGTTATAGTCAGTGGAGCACACCTGTCCAATCTGAGGCTTACCTCACTTGCTTCCCATGGAGGATTTTCATCCTGCTTGAGCAGAACAGGAATTTGACAGAGATGCTTGATTAGAATAAATGGAGCATTCCTATCAAAAGCAGAAAAGCAATGAATCCATGGGTAAACTCCATTAATTTTAATACAGTGCTAAGTGTGTTAAATGTTATGTGAGAGTGCTTGCTGTGTATGTGCACTCACAGGTTTCCTTAATGATAAGCCCTAGGTGGTTTTAAGTTCCTTTTTAGATTTCATAATGCCTCAGTTCAACTAATATTTTCATSTCTAGGTACATAGGCATCTGTTTTGGCATTAAAAAAATAGGAAAAATAATCAAAAGTAATTTTAATTTGCAGGTTCTTCTATGCAAATGTAACTTCATGTAGTGTCAGCATATTGATTTTCAGATACATTGTTTCAAATTCAGAGAAAATTTATGCCAAGGGGCATTTTAGAAGAAAAGGAAAAGGTTTTACATTGATATCCCTCTCTTCCCCAAAGTAAGATTCCTGTTATGTAAAAGAAAACAGAAGACAGCCTGAAAGCAATACCATAAACAGGATGATATAATTCCTATTCTTATTTTGCAGTGCATCATCTTCCAGACAAACTTATGTCACAGCAAAGTGTACTAATTTAAACTCCACCTACTTTCCAAAGTACTCTGTCACTGCTCAATTTGGTCCATGGAGTTTTAGGAAATCTAACTTTTAGCACAAGGAAAATGAAAAACAATCCAAGGAGAAGAGTATAACAGTTGAAACAGGCTGTTCCTCCTCTTCTTGGCACCCCTGTGATCGGCATGACTGATTTGCACAATGTTTAATTCCATTTACATCCAATTAAGGAAGGATATCTTGTCCTTTCTGTAGGTGCATTTTCATACACCCCCACCCCCATCTTTCTGCACTTTTCTTCCTACATAGACTCAAATCAACATTGCTGCTTGATAAGAAAGTCAGTCTTGCTGGAAGCTTTACAGGAGTGAAATGCAAGCAGATACCAGTTACTCTTCTTTTAATCTTTATTGATGGGACTTCATCTTTCTTTGGGAAATACTTCCTTTGCCAAACAATCTCCATGTTTCGGAAAACAAGGACTAGAGCCTCTTTACAAGTACTGCTGTTCTGTGTATGTTATATATAATAATAATATATATTTTTTTATATATATGTGTATGTGTAATAAATGTATGATAGAATCGTATAAAATAATGCTTGAAAGGGACTCTTGGAGATGTGTAGTCCAACCTCTCACGCAGATCAGGCCTCTTTCCAGCATGAAGCCATGTCAGCCATGGCTTTATCTACTAATTGCCTTGAAAACGTGCAAGTTTGGAGATTCTTCCACCTCCTGGTAATCTTGCTCATTGCATTAGCCCCCTAATGATGAGGTTTTTCCTGATGTCCAGTCTGAACRCTCCAAACCAGAGTTGCTGCTGGTTGTCCCTGGTTTTACCTTCTGAATTATTTCTCTGCACTATTTCTGTAAGGCCCCTTCACGTAGCTGTGAGCTGTAATGAGAGCTCTCCGTGCCCTGCAGCCTCCTCCTTGTCACATGAAACACATCCAGCTCCCTCAACCCTTCCTTGTGGGTCACCCGCTCCAGGCCCCGGCCCTGTGGTGGCCTCTCGCGGAGCTGCCTCCTGCTTCCCGGCAGCTTCTCCAGCTGGGCAGGGCCGGACCCACACATCGCTCCGGCCACGGCCTCATCAGCACTAAGTGGAGAGGAATTACAACATTCCTTAGTCTGCTGGCCAACGTGACGTTTGCCTGATTGAGGAGCAGACTCTGCTGCTGGCTCATGGTCAGCTTGGCACGAAGCACACGGCAAGGCAAAAAGGCCTCTAAGAGAACGTGCATCACACGCTTGGAACCACAGTCTTTAAAAACAGCAGTGAGTGCTTCCTCCTTTCTGCCTTCAAATAAGAAAAAAAGCTCTCAGATTCTTGCATGTCATGGGAAAAACTAATTATTTTGAAATGAGGAAGTAACCAAAATCTGTTGTTTTGGGATATTTCTAGGTGAAGCTTCTGTAATTGACTGCCTGCTAAACTCTACAGCCATTATCAAAAATAATCTATTTAGCCAGCTTTACTAATCACAGGGTTCCTGAGCATATTTTCACAGAACATTCAAATACAAAATGGAAATAGTGAGTAGATTGTCATCACTGCTAATGCGCTAAGTCCTGTATCCATCTCTATGTTGTTATAATAAAAATAAATAGAGCATACAAGCAAAGCATTTTCTTTTGATATTGACTATAATAAATAGATCACTTTTTTTAACAGTTCTGAGAGAATGCCTGTTATGTATGAATCTTTTTTTTCCGGAAAAGAAATTGAAAAAAATTGTAAACAGAAAATGAAGCCCATTTTGATGTGCATGAAATTTATTTTAGTATCAACTACTATTAGCCAATAAATGATAAGTAGGGAGATTAGATGGATGTTTCTTGAAAGGCTACGTGGTATGCAGAACGTGCTTTCATTGTGCTTCCTGGCATTATAAGATAATATATCTTGTTTGGAAATATAATGATCAGTTCTGTTAAATCATGTTCAATCAGCTTAAATAATAACACCTGTGTTTTGTTATTCATTTCAGATTTCAGAGACCTATGCCTTCCTACCGAGAGAAGCGGTGACACGATTTCTAATGAGCTGCTCAGAGTGCCAGAAAAGAATGCATTTAAACCCAGATGGAGCGGATCATAAAGGTAGTTTCAGTGTCAAATAGTGTGATGTAAAGTGTTTTTATTTCTAATACCCATTTATATTTTCCTAGTTTAAGTGAGGTTCATAAAACATTTGGTAGACTGGAATGGTTCAACAAGTCAGATCATCTCATTTACTTAAGATGGAAGGTAGTGAATCTTCTGCTTACACTTAGGAATGGAGTATAATGCCATGTGCACCCTCAATAGAAAGATGATTTTATTTGGAAGAAATTATTTATTTTGCTATGGAACTGTTTAAATGTAAGAAATAGGTAGGGTGCATGTGCTGTAGTAATTTAGGATGGAAGAGCTCATCTTTTTTTGGGCTTGAATAAGATTCTCATTTTTCTTCAGTACAGCTGATAAGCAGATGGAAATTCCAAAGTTAGAACTAAATGAAATAAATGTCTGACTTTGACTGCAGAGTAGGCTGAAGTAACCTCTACAATTAACATGTAATGCATAATAAATATTTTTATTACAGATAATGGAAAACCTCCAACGTTGGTGACCAGCATGATTGATTACAATATGCCAATTACTATGGCCTATATGAAACACATGAAGCTGCAGCTATTAAATTCACAGCAAGATGAGGTAAAACTGGAGTCTTTGAAGTTTGGTGTTTAAATTCTCTTGTGTTCTTTGGTGTATTTGGTAGCTGGGAAATGAATTGAAGGAGATCAGGTTGGTCATGCAGGACCTGCCTTTCATGAACTCATATTGGCTGGGCCTGATCCTGATGGAAGCACTAACAACATCAGCTGAAATCTTTAAGTAAAAGACCAACATAAAKAAGAGCTGGAGTGTCTTCTGAGTTGAATAATTAAAAAGATGGGAAAAAAAGAGAAGTAAGCTGAGCATCAAGCTTCTTCGGAAAGGATTGGACTTTAATGGCATTTTTGTTTCTTAGAGGTATTTTATWTCTGTGATTTATGCAGGCTCTTTCAGGTTTTTGAAGAGTACTTCATGCGTTGGATGGAAAGTAGCAATACTATTTGTAATAAACTTGTTTTGTTAGAAATATGCTCATTTACCARTAGAGCTGCCAAATAGTTAGAAGCCTTGCTATGTGCCAGCCAAAAATCAGTCCTGCATACTGTGTCCTTCTGCCCAATTACAAGCTTTTTTTTTTTTTTTTTTAAATAAAGAAAACCTTTAAAATAACCTTTAACAGCTGGATTATGGCAAAGACSGTGACTAGCTCTTGATTTCTGTCAAGTCAGACAGGTTTGGATTCATAGTAAGTGTATATGGGATACTGGTGGAGATTTGTTAATTATTCAGTACTCCACCGAATGAGAATTTCATCACTTTCCTATGAAAAGAAAAAAAATAATACTTTTTATCTTTTTGTTTTTTTTTTTTGAACTGGGAAGGGTGTGAGAAGACATCCTCTATTCTGAGCACTTCATGCACAAATGTAGCCTGGTCTTCTTTCCCTCACATTGAGTCTCCCCTCGCCTCCACTGCTTGTCAGGAATCTGGCTGCAGGATTTCAAGCAGCAGGAGGTAATAGGCTTTATCCTGCAGCAGCCTGAAGAGCTAAATGGCTTTTTGGTTTCCCTACTTCCTCKCATTGAGAGTTACTCCTGCCACAATAGGGTCCAGCATTCATGCTGGATCAGGACCATCTGTCATGGTGTTTCTGTAGCCTAAATGTTTTGTTGTAGTCCTTTCTGGTCTGATGGTTGGAGTTTTCTTTAAACCGGTTTTTCATCCAGATGAACTGTTGGCATCAATGCAGTGGCATCAGGAAGCACCATTGCTGGCTGTCTCCTGCCCAGCTGCTCATTTTGCATCTCTTACGTTACTGCCTAGGAAATGTCTACAGCTTCATAGAAACGAAGAAAAAAAGTGATTTTGGACACGTTTTAGTAACAATGTGTTTGTGTGGGCAGAATGGGGTCAGGAAAGTTTTCATGCTAATCTTTATTTCTTTCCTCTTTAGCTTTTTTAAAAATTATTCTTTTTCTTTTTTCTTTTTTCTTTTTTCTTTTTTCTTTTTTCTTTTTTTTTTTTTTTTTTTTTGGCCAGGCTGTACATTTGTTGCACTAAGAGCAAAATGGCAGTGAAGATACTACAGGACAAAGTAGAAGGATTTCTGTTGCACGCATTCAAACTATTTCATGTGCTTGAAACACATGCTTGGGTTTGTAGGAAGGCTCCTTTCCAAGGTTTCATCAATCATCACTGTGTTCTTGTGGATGGTGCAGAATGAGGCAGGAGTGAACTTGTCTGCCACCACTAGTTAGCAGAGTGATTGAATGCTTCTTAATTCTTTCACCCTTGATTCATCATTTTGAAGCTGAGGCTGTCAATGAAAGGAAAACAGGCTTGATCTTATAGGAAACTCATCAAAGCGTTGAATTTTTCTCAGTGCTGCAACTGGTACCAAGATGCCCCTGCCCAACGACCTCTCTGCCCATGCCTGTGTGTATAGGCACACTCGGATAAATGCTTTCTATAAAAGCTTTGTACAGTCTGTGGAGCACAGTGGMGATGCTCTGCACAGTGCTATAGAGGCTGCCTCTGTGTGGTGGGGGTGTCTTAGACCTATGTGAGCACTGGATGGTCCAAGCTGCCTTTCTGGGAGCCCAGGCAGATTGCCTGACCTCAGAGTGGGAATACGTAAGCTGCTGCCAGCCGATTCCTGCAGGAATCAATGAGAAATACCACTGGGCCTTAGCATAGTCTTCTTCCAGAAGGTCTTGGGGAGTTTGTATTCTGGTCTTGCTCTTTGAGAAAGCAGCATGTGTTTTTTGTGTTTTTCCTGAACTTCAGAGCCAGCTTGGTAAATACCCTGGGGTACAAGGCCAGTGGTCATCCCTTCCTGCAGTTCCTRTGTGATGGGRTTATCRGGGATCTGCTGTTGCTTTAACTGCSGCACTTCCCACGTTATGTAGGCAAGGTTGGCAGGTGGTCCTGGAGAAGTCCTCACTAACCCRTTTCAGTTTGTGTGAAACTTCGACAACAAGATATGTCTGCTTCATCAGTTAAAACTGGCCAGGTGTGAAAGTGTGGAGCTGCGTGGTCTGGGAAATTCTCCCCAGGCTCATTCCTGAATGGCATTTGGGAGTTTTTCATCCCAGTTCAACAACAGAGCTGGCTGTGGGGAAATTTCCTTCCCCAAACTACAGAAACATCCATGCAAACTGGAAAAATCATCGAGAGGAGTAGATTTAAAGGACAACTGTTCAAAGAGAGGAAAACAACTATTGTAGTGCCTGTAGAAATGCATCCCCAATAAATAGAGAATAAGTCAAATTGAAAACACCATTTTCTAGGTCAATTCTGGCGAGCAACGCCCCCCTCCAAAAAAATTGCCAGAATCCTGTCAGTTTAAGTTCTGTTTTAATGAAAAAGACACCCAAATGTTAACTATCTTCAATGGAAAAGTATTTTAAATTAGTCTTCAGGAGATATATAATCATCCACATTGTTTCTCTGCATGTTCTTAAATGGCTTTTGCTCATAATGGGAGTAATTCTCTGAGAAAAGTTGCTACTGAAGATACATCAGCGTTGGTTTGTATGTTGTCTCAGCAGCTTACCAAGAAAGACTTGTGAATATTTAATTTAAGTCCATGAATGGGCATAAACTTCAGCAGAACTGAAGCAATAAAGTTAAATGTGTGTGAACATTGTTGGACTAGGGCTGAACCTGCTTTGCTTGTGCAGGTCAACTGAGGACAAGCTTTTTGACTGGCATTATTTGCCATCTATTATTATTCCTAGTAGAGACTCTATAATTAAACTTGTTGGATAAATCATGTTAAAGATGTCTGAGGTAGAATAAATTCCTGGTGATTCTCATGTGATTGTATTACTTCAGTCTGCTGTTGACTGTCACTGGAATATGTTCAGATCTTTATAAACTACACCATTTTCTCAGACGCTTCTCTAAACATAATAATAGTGTTGTTACTAGCTTGACATCTTGCTAAGGGAGTTTGTTCATAGCTTCTTGTTAGGTCAAGTTATTATTCTGAAATATTATCCTGGTTGATACTCATGGGGTAACCTACCTTCCTTGGGTAAGGTGGGACATTCAGGCACAGAATATGGAGAACTTTCCTTAGACAAATTGGAATGAGGAGGAGTTTAYATGGGGGTTTCCTAGCCTTTTTAAAAAATATATTATGGAAAAAAGTTACTGGTCTGTTGATGGAGTATTGTCATAGTTGAAAACAATGCATTTGTCAAGTTAGAATATTACACAAATAATGCATTTTCCTTATTCCTCTTTATATGTTATGTTTGCTTATTGATACATACACAGTATCAGCATGAATAAATTCCAGTCCAGGTATGAGTGAAATAATTGGGAATGAATTAAAACTACATATAATGTGAACATCATGTGTTATCCTGACATTTTCTAATATGATTCTGCAACGTTCAATTGCAGGATGAGAGCTCAATAGAGAGTGATGAGTTTGATATGAGTGACTCCACTAGGATGTCAGCTGTGAACTCGGACCTCAGCTCCAATCTTGAAGAGAGAATGCAAAGTCCTCAGAACCTCCAGGGCCAGCAGGATGGTAAGGCTCTTGTTTCATACAGAAAATAATGGGTTTTTTTGTCTCTTTCCCATTCTGTGCCTTTATTTAAATACCTGCTGTATTCTTTTATTCATAAAATGCTCCATTAGGCAACTTGAAGCATATGTTCTCTTTGTCTTAGCGTGAGGAAGATGAATTTGGGTGTTTGCAGGTTAATTTAATTGTTGCTTAGRCAACAAGTGAGTGCTTAGTTCACTGTATGTTAAGTATTAGAATTTTACTATTGTTATGCATGTATAATGTGGCCTTACATAGGCATAAAGGGTAATAGAACTCAAATCTTTCAGAGGCAGAGGTTCTTAGTGGCTGAAATGTGAGAGACAGAAATGAGAAAGAGAGAGAAACGTGGTGGTTTGAGAACTAGGCATTAGGGTGTGGTAGTCAAAAGAAAGGATGAAAGCGACAGACTCAAATAGAAAAACAGAATTTAAAGAAGAGAAAACAGAAAATCTTAATCTTAGTTATTGAAGTTTATTTCTAACACATATTTTGCTGGTGAAATAGATGAAGTTTTGCTTTGCATAGAGGACATAAACTCTTTGACTTTTTGTTAGATAAAGTCCCAGAAGTTTCTTGTTTGGAGTGAACTTTCTCCTTGAGAATGGAGCTCACCCAGAGCCTCTCTGGTATGGGCTGCTGTACCAGAGGCTGCTGTGGGTCACAGAWGAACATGAACCTGCACTCAGAAGTGCAGATTTATTTTGTAGCTACCCAAACCAACATATTGGCACGTTACTGTAGATGTTACTGTGTAATTTCCTGACCATATACATCAGTTCAGAGGTGTTTCTTCTATTTCTAATATCAGATATATGGAATTTGACAGTTAAGATGTATTCTTTTAATCTTAYGTGTCATCTTCAGTTGTTGGCTTGCAAGTTGTTTAGGCATACACGTGTGTTGCGTGTGGGACAGGATCTGGTTATGTTTAGACCTTGGTATCTGTTGCTCTGTAGACTAATAAAGTGGATAATTTCACAGGACAGTTTCTAACCACTGCAGTCTTTTATCTTGATGTCCTCAAATTATCACAAAGTTTATGTAACATTTAACTGAACTGCTACCTACATATGGTCACTAAGGGAGTAATTCTCATGATGCACCAGAAGTAGGGGAAGCCAGTTCACTTTCTTGTTGCAGTTTGACTTTTCAGGGTAMATACATTATACTACTACTAAATTAAGAATTTGTAGGGAGAATTTGGAAGGTGCTATTTTTATATATCTGTTCTTCAGTGCAAAACAGTGCTTTAGAAGTTATCAGTTACATATATATTCAKGTGTTTCACTTATAAAGTATCTCTTAAGGGCAAAAGTGTATGCACACATGTGTATGTGCCTCAGATAAAAATTCTTGCTCAGTGCAATAATGTGTGCGGAAATGCCTGTCATTCAGGTCTTGATATCTGCTGCAACCAGATTTATGTGCCACATCTAAACATATTAGAACCAGTGAAAGAGTTGTAAAACACTGTAAATCTGTCACTTGGTATTTAAAATCTCTAGCAAACAAATGTGCTGCGGACTTTGAACTGCAGGTAGTGTGATCTTACAAAATTGCTTTAAGTCAGCCTTCTTTCCTTCCTTTTCTCCCAAAGGGAACTTGCACGCCTTCCCAAGGCAAACCTATTTCTGTGTATTTTGTGAGCTAAAACATCTGCTGATAGATTTAAAATAGCAGCTCCTTGTGCTTCATGGCTTTCCAGTGCTTAGCTGTTATCAGGTAGCAAACTCGAGTGTGGCCAGTTATGGCATTATTGTTTTTTAAGATTTGAGAGAAGGGCTGGAGGAGAAGAAGGATATTAGAGAAGGGATAGGAAAAAGCAGAGTGCAGGAAAAAAGAAAATCAGAAGAAATTAATGAACAAGAGGAGAAGGAAGAAAGTGAAAACAGGAAAACCAAAAGGGAACTTAAGTGAATTTAGCAGTGGAATTGCGTCTGTGTACAGCCTTCACAATAAATTTTTGCAGTTTTAATAGCAGATCTAATGCACATAAACCTGAACGATCACCAGACCATGAATACATGTTTCTGAGGTGATTTCTTCCCCCTTGCCTCTGACTGTTCTACGTGTCCATGGGCGTTTGTCAGCCACCATGTCCTGCAGAAATGCAGAAATGCAGAAATGCAGCTAGCGTTTGCCTTGGCTCAAGTGTGTTGGAGGCACTCGGGCATGAGAGACCCTACTGACTGTAGGGTGAGACCCTACTGTGCAGGGTGTCTGTGGTGGAAGGGGACAGCACATGACCCCTGCTGCTGCAGACAGCCCTCCCTGGGAGGCGAATGGGCATCATGAGCAAAACTGCTGCGCGGGGACGCGTGAGGGACAGACCCACAGCACCTAGATGTGATCTGTCCTGTCACTGTGTTTATATGGCCTTTCACATAAGGTAGCATGAGAAAATTTTGAGACATCACTGTAACACAGGCAGTTCCATCTCCATGTGAGGAGGRACTTCTTCCCTGTGAGGGTGACAGAGCCCTGGCACAGGCTGCCCAGGGAGGCTGTGGAGTCTCCTTCTCTGGAGGTCTCCAAACCCGCCTGGATGCCGCCCTGTGCCCCGTGCTCTGGGTGTCCCTGTTGGAGCAGGGCGTTGGACTAGATGGTCTCTAGAGATCCCTTCCAACCTCAGCCATTCCGTGATTCTGTGATTGCATGGATTTCAGGCTGGTTTATTACTAGCATATAACTGGAGTCAGTGTATGCTGAGGATTGCCATGGTGACCCAAGTCATCCCACTGAGGGGTAGGTGGAAAGACTCCTCTGCAGTTCAGTTTATCAGAGAATAGTGAAATGCTTAGATTATGCACATAAAAAGAAGAAGGTGCTTTCATACCCTCTTTCTTTGGTACGCTGCTTGCAGGGTATTTAGGAAGATTCTTGGCTTTGGTGCTCTGTTGTAGGGCTCACCATAGGAAATTTGACCTGAGGTTTCTCTGATTCTTTCAGTATACTTCTCTGTTCTCTGTTTCTCATGGTTAAGTTGTTTGAACCCAAAGAGATGAAAGGCAAATACGAGAGCAGCCCACAATCCTCCCAAATGCTGTCCTGGTAGAGAGGTGCTGCTGAGGAGACAGGCACAGAGAGGGGGTGTGTGTGTGTGTGTGTGTGTGTGTGCTCCTAATAGATGGGTGCTGGTTGTAAAAGCAGTCATCAGCTGGAATGTCACGTGGAAGGAGGTGGAACGTAAGATACAGGGGAACTGCTCCAATGTCCTGGTACGTGCCCCCATGCTAGGGCTTCAAGGATTCTCTGTACAAAGCTTGCTTGGGTGAAGGGCAATGAGCAATTGAGTAAGAAAGGAAAAGCGGGGAGAGCTGGTGAACACTAGCCATAATATTCAAGCTGGAACGCAGCTCCAAAGSATGGCACCCCCTTTACATTGGCCTGTGTGTGCTCTTAGATAAGAGGGCCCTGAGTCACAGCGGCTGCTGAGGGKCTGCCCACAGCACCCCACACGTGTGGGGCTGCTGCCCTTCCCTGGGCACTTCCAGGGGAGGCAGCTCTCACTTGGCATCAGTTCATCCCTGCCTCGGGAACAGGTAAAGCCTGCAGACGTGCCTTGCTGCGGTCAGTGGCAGTGTGTTGCTGCCCCTCCTGCTGTTTGGGACCCCGTGAGGGGTTTGGGAGCCTGCAGGGGGGTTTGGGGGCTCGCTGTGGTGGCTCATGAGCTACCCAGAATGAGGGAGGTGTGAGGGAGGTGTTAAGAACACGCACAGCGGCCTCCCTGCCAGCAACACGGCTGGGCGGGAGACTTGTACTGAAAGGGACTGTCCTTCCCTATAGGAGCTGCCAAATACAAAGTAGGGGTGCGACTAGCTGATCTAGACTGTGACTCAGTGCGTGGATGGATGGCTGGATGRATGGATGGAGAATTCACTTATTCTCAGCATTTCTCACCTTTCTAAAGTGCACTGAAACATGTGCACGTTTACATTTGGTGTATTAAGGATATGGGATGGGGGAGCCATTCAGTTCATTTTTTTGAAGATGATGCAGTTATATATTTATACATATTTATATAAATCTTGTTCTCGCAAGCACTGTATGGGGACTGTGCTTATAGCTGCTAGCTATAATAAAATATGTCATGATTCAACTTATAAAGGGGTTATGGTGCAATCTTAGTAGTCTTAGATGTGGTGATTATTACTAAAC